GCCAGCACACCCAGCTAATTAAAATTTTTTTGTAGAAACAGGGTCTCACTATGTTGCCCAGGCTGCTCTCAAACTATTGGCTTCAAGCAGTCCTCCCGCCTTTGCCTCCCCAAAGTGCTGGGATTACAGGCGTGAGTCCCCACGCCCACCCGACCAGTACTTCAGATTCTTATCCCTTTGTAAAACCTGGGTCTACCTAACTCCAAGAAACCTGTCTTCTGCCCAGATTCTAGAGAATTCCGAGGAGGGAGCTGCCTCTCCATCCCTTCCATATGTGCTTCTAGGAAAAAATTATCAGTCTCACGTCACCAGAGGGCTCGAATAAAGAGGCTGCTATTCAAACATTCCTCCAATATTAACTGAGCACCTCCTCTGGGTGAGGCTCACCAGGGAGCACCTGCCCCACTCCAGACTTGGAAGTGTGCCCATTTCACCACATTCTTTGGTGTCCTGGCAACCAGAGACTCTGATCTGAGCTCCAGCCAGAACAGAGGCCATTCCTCCCTGACCGCTGTGACTCACCACCGCCCAAGCCTCTGAGGACCAGACCGTGTAGCTCTCAGGACCACTGAAAGCTATCCCTTGTCCTCGAGGACGCCTGGAACCCCAGCCCCACTGACCTACTCCGGCAGGATGAGCTTCTCAGTCACGTACACCGAACTGGCCAACATCGCCATCCCACAGTGCGGGGTGCTGAACTTCAAGGCCCTGCACCTCCTGCTGCACGGCATCTTGGAGCACATCCACATGGCTGAGCTCAAGAAGGTCCTCTCGGGGGATGAGGACTTCTTGCAGACCTCGCAGGTGGTCATCGTGCCCAGGGAAGGAGATGCCCAGCCCATCCTCAACCCCATGAAGAGGCTCAGCAATGTCTTCGACCACGTGGTGAGCCGCCTCGACAAGATGGAAAACCAGCTGGCCCTGCTGCAGGACCTGCCCTCCACCGCCCAGCTGCTGGAAGCCAGTCAGGGCACTGCCCGGCCCATCCAGGACCTGTGGCATCTGATCAAGCTCCGGAAGACGGTGGAGGGTCACGATGAAGTCATGGCCAAGGTACACCCCCAGCCTCCGGACACTTCCTTTCCCCCCTCACCACTTGCTGTCTCCAGGGACGTCTTTTTTGTTTTTGAGATGGAGTCTTGCTCTGTCGCCCAGGCTGGAGTGCAGAGGCGCGATATCGGCTCACTGTAACCTCTGCCTCCCCGGTTCAGATTCTCCTGCCTCCGCCTCCCTAGTAGCTAGGATTACGGGTGCCCGCCACCACACCCGGCTAATTTTTGCATTTTTAGTAGAGATGGCGTTTCACTATGTTGGCCAGGCTGGTCTCGAACACCTGATCTCAAGTGATCCACCTGCCTCGGCCTCCCAAAGTGCTGGGATGATAAGCATGAGCCACTGCTCCCAGCCCTCTCCTGGGACATCTTGTTGCTTTTTCCGCCATGATGGGCCATCCCCTCATGCAGAGTAGGAAGAAGGCGGCTTTAGAGTCAGGCACAACCAAAATGCCAAGCTTGCAGCCTCCATCAAGTATTGCAAAGAAGTCAGACACAAAAGGCCACCCAGTGTATGATTCCATTTATATAAAATGTCCAGAATAGGCAAATCCATGGAGAGAGAAAGCAGTGCTTGCCAGGGGCTGGGAGGAAGAGAGAATGGGGAATAATTGCTTTGTGGATACAGGGTTTCCTTTTTGGGGTGATGAAAATGTTTTGGAACTTGATGGAGGTGATAGTTGTACAACCTCGTTGGTGTACTAAATGACACCGAATTGTTCACTTAAAAATGGCTAATTGTACATGAGGTGAATTTCACTCCAATTTTTTTTTAAGACAGGGTCTCACTCTGTCACCCAGGCTGGAGTGCAGTGACTCAATCATTGCTCACTGTAGCCTCGTCCTGCCAGACTCAAGCAATCCTCCCACCTCAGCCTCCCGAGTAGCTGAGACCACAGGTATGCACCACTGCACCTGGCTAATTTTTGTATTCTTTGTAGAGATAGGGTCTCCTCATGTTGCCCAGGCTAGACTCAAACTCCTAGGCTCCATTGATTCTCCCGCTTTGGCCTCCCAAAGTGCTGGGATTACAAGTGTGAGCCACTGCGCTCGGCCTTACCCCAATTTCTAAAAAATGCCTGGATGAGCTACCATGGGAGAGGTACGAGAGTAGTCATGGTGAACAGGCACGCCCAGCCTAGCAGGGGAGATAGACACAAGTGAGTGGGAACCTCCAAGA